CATGAGAAAAATCAGACGAATCGAAGAAGCTTTTCAAAAGCTATGACCAAAAGTTGTTTTTGCCAAATCTCATAATTCACCTTATATATTGGAGAAGAAGTGAAAAAGAAACTTTCTGATGGACATTAGGTATTTTCCTCAGGTGCCTCTATTCGTGGTAGGAGTATGTACAGTTTGAAAATTGATCATTAACAGACGGTAACTAATAATTAGTTGCAATTTTTCATTTCCTGTACTGATGATACTAGTTGTACACGTGATTATAACTGTGGTGCATAGCACTACTTATTATATTTAATTGTTATTATATTTGATAAAACTATTATCATTCTTATTATCATCATCGGTATTATAGATGCTATCATTATTTTTGTTATTATCATCATCATGATTATCATCATCACTATATCATTATATATTTAGAGATATATGTGTGTATATCGTTAGCTATCAGTTAATTCTTTATTTCATGTCAACACATGAATCGTTTTGTACCCAGACAGCACAAGATATTCCATGAATATCCAAAGAATATTATTTTTTGAAATTGGGAGTATTCATGAACATGCCAGAGATATACATACTTATCTTCTATGGAATATTTCCTGAATGTGCTGGTTAGGCAGATTGTATATATATGTATATATATATAATCATATCCCTTTTTACCCATAGGGTGTAAGGGTGCATGTTTCAGTACATTAATAATAATTATTGTTTATAAATTTCTTCCATTCCTTTCTTTCTTGTGCTAAGTCCTTAGCTTCTGGCCACGTTTTTCTTCTCTTCCTCAGAATTATTCCAACAATATTGTCCCACGTCTGTATTGGTCGCCCTACTTTCCTTTTCCCTTGAGCTTTGGACTCCCATATCCTTTTGACCTGTGTTCCGTTTTTCATTCTTTGTAGATGTCTCCACCACGCTAGTTGTTTTTTCTCAATATATTCTTCTATCGATTCTATTTCCAATTCTGCTCTTATTACTACATTTCTGATTTTTTCTCTCCTTGTAATGCCTTTCACTCTTCTCAGATACTTCATTTCTGTTGCTCTAATTTTGCTCTTTTCTTGTTCCGTTAATACCCATGATTCACAGCCGTGCGTTAGTATAGGTCTGTAAATGGTTTTGTAGACTTTCATTTTAGTTTTTCGTGATATTTCTATACTCTATTAGCTTTCTCTATCCTATTGCTCAATTCCACTTCGTGTTTTCCCGTTTCTCCTAGTGTTATCCCTAAGTACTGAAAATTTTTAACTTGTTCTATTCTCTCGTCGTCAATCATTACTTCAATTCCTTTCCTTTCCCCTGAGATTACCATCACTTTTGTTTTTGTTTTGTTCAGTTTCATGCCATACTTCATTAACACTTCCTTCCATACTCTCAAGTTTTCATTCAGATCTTTCTCGCTTCCTGTAATTATTGCTACGTCATCTGCAAAGGCACATTCAGATATTCCAATCCTTTCCAAGTTTTTGTATTCAATATATAATGGTTTTGTTTTTAGTTGCGCTTCTTTTATTATTTCGTCCATCAACGTTATGAATAACAGAGGACTCAGGTTACCTCCTTGTCTCACCCCCTCTTTTGTTCGGAATTCGTCAGACTTGGCGTTTTTACTGATAATTATATTTTTTGTTTCTTTGTAAATGCATTTGATTACTCTCAATAGTTTCTTCTCTACTTTCTTTTTATTTAGGCATTCCCATATTTTATTTCTTGGTACCCTGTCGAATGCTTTTTCTAAGTCGATGAATGCTAAGTAGGCTGTTTTATTTCTTGTTAGTAATCTATTTGTGACTTCTTTTATTGTGAAAATATGGTCTTGCGTACATCTTCCTTTACGGAATCCACTCTGTGATTCTGTCAAAGTTGGTTCTACTACTTTTCTTAATCTTTTCTCTATTATCTTTTCAAATAATTTCGTAATTGTGCTCAGCAGTGTTATACCTCTATAGTTGTTGCAATCTTTGCTATCTCCTTTCTTGAATATAGGTACTATTAGCCCAACCCCCCAATCTTCTGGTAATTTTTCTTCTCTCCATACTTTATTGAATATTCCTAGTAGCATTTGTATACCACTTTCTCCCATACTTTTCACCATTTCTGCTGTGATCTTGTCGTTTCCTGGAGCCTTTCCATTCTTAAGTTCAGTTATTGCCATGCTTAGTTCTTCCTTTGTTATATTTTCTTCATCTGATTCTCGTGTTTCTGTTATTTCTTCTTTTTCATCCTCCTCTAATTCTTGCTCTTCTGTCACGCGATCCGTTTCTAGTAATTTCTCGAAATATTCTTTCCATCTTCTCATTGTATCTGCATTTTCTCTCAATACCACCCCATCTTCATTTTTTATCACTGTCACTTCTGTCTTTTTATTATTTCTTAGGTTTTTTAAGACTCTGTAGAACAATTTTTGATTTCCTCTACTATCTCTTTCCAATTTTTCTCCAAATTCTTCCCACTTCTTTTGCTTCGATTCCAGTACTAAATTTTTGACTTTTATTCTGCTTCTCTTATAGGTTTCATAATTTTCTTCAGATTTGTTACTTAAATATTTTTGCCATTTCTCCTTTTTGCTCTTAATTTGTTTTTTGATTTCTTCTGTCCACCATGCAGTTTGTTTCTTATTTTTATTTTTCTTACATGTTCCACATATATCTTTAGCCGCTTGTATTATAATGTTTTTGAATTCTCTCCACGTTTCTTCAATACCCATGTTCTGTATAACGCTCTCTAGTTTTTGTATTTCGATTTCGATTCTTCTTTGGTATCGTTTGGCAACTTCTCTGTTCTTCAATTTATATGATCTAATAGTTTCAACATCCACTGTTTCTTTTTTTTGTACTTGTCTTATTTTTTGTTCTTCTTGGGTACTTTTGATTTCTGCCACCACTAAGTAGTGATCACTGTATATTACATATCCTCTTTTAACTGCTACATTATTTATTAGTCTTCTATTTTTTCTCTCAACTAATATGTAGTCTATTATTGACTTCTCTCCTCTGCTCGATTCGACTCTCGTGTATTTATGTATATCTTTATGTTTGTAAAATGTATTAGTAATTAACAGGTCATGTAACGCACAAAATTCTATCAGTCGCCTGCCATTATTATTCCTCACGTCTTCTCCATACTCTCCTATAACTGAATATGTTTGATTTGATTTTCCTACTCTGCCATTCATATCTCCTGCTATAAATATGCTTCCTTTTGCCGTTTCGACAGTGATATTCAGTTCTTCCCAGAATCTTTCTTTAATTTCACTTTTCTCATCTTCAGAGGGTCCGTACACTGCTATTATTGTTTTGATATCCTTTTCTTAATTCAATTCTACTGTTAAGATTCTTTCGGATATTGCATCCCAATTGCACAAGTTTTCTTTGATGTTTTTATGTAATATGCATCCTATACCCGCTTGTGCTCTCTTATTTTCTTCTATCCCGCTCCATATTAATAGGTGTTCGTTTTCCATTTCCATTGTTCCGTTCCCTTTCTTTTTTGTTTCTGGTATTACTAGTATTTCTAGCTCGGCTTTCTCAAATTCACTTATCAACTCAATTTCTTTACCATTCAGGCTTCTTATGTTCCATGTCCCTAGCTTACAAATATTCTTCTTATTATTTATATTCCTAATGTTTTCAACATCATCTCTATTCATCTGGCCCTTCTCTTCTCCTGAATCATTAACGTTTTCATCGCCGTAGTCATCATTGTATGTCCGTTTCTTATTTATCATTATTAGTTTTTTGTCACCCGTGTGCTCTTTTTGCTATTTTCTTTTCCATCACTTCCATTTGGGGACCTTTCGCTGGTGGTTCTTTTGCTTCTATTCGTTTCCATCTGTCCCTCGTCTCCTTCCCTGATATTTTTCATATCTTCGGCATTGTATGTCTTATCATCGATTACTAATTTATTATGTCTTTGTTGTGCTTTGTGTCCCTGTCTTCTCGCTTCTTTTAAATGTGGAATCAGTATTTTCCTATCTTTAATTCTTTATTTCATGTCAACACATGAATCGTTTTGAACCCAGACAGCACAAGATATTCCATGAATATCCAAAGAATATTATTTTTTGAAATTGGGAGTATTCATGAACATGCCAGAGATATACATACTTATCTTCTATGGAATATTTCCTGAATGTGCTGGTTAGGCAGATTGTATATATACCTAGAGAATATTCACAGGGAATATTCCATATACAGGGTGATTCACATAAGAACCGACATAGAGCAGGGGCGTGTAGGGGGTTTCAAAATATGGCAATTTAATGCAACTCACCTCTATACCAAGTTGCTTTCCTGAGGAGTTATAGGCTTTGAAAGTGAAGTTATAAATTTTGAAAAAAATCAATATCTCCGTTATTCTTGAACTCAAAGCAACCAAATTTGGTTCACTTTGTGGATTTATTTAGGGCGTTGTGCTTTGTTGTGTGGGAAATTCTATTCTAAAACTTTCCTTACCCTAGTAATTTTTCGAAAAATCCCATCATTTTCATCAAAAACTCGAATAACTGAAAACGCGCGCTCTAGGTGTGTTATTTAAAATCATCGAAAATTCAAAAGTTGGCTATGAAAATAAACGTACAACAAGAAAGTAGGTCATTGATTGTGATCAGTGGAAATTGGCTGGCAAATTATCATTTAGATACGTAACAAAATACGTAAAGTAAGTACAGATACTGAAATGTGAAAAACTGGGATTAAAAACTAACCAAAATAAACACAAAAAACTTGAACAACAACCAGAACAAACAATTGTTTATCGATAAATTACTTAATTGAACAACTCACTTGCTTCATTGTCAAGTTTGACGTTTATTTTCATAGCCAACTTTTGAATTTTCGATGATTTTAAATAACACACCTAGAGCACGCGTTTTCAGTTATCAGAGTTTTTGATGAAAATGATGAGGTTTTTAGAGAAATTACTAGACTAAGAAAAGTTTAAGAATTGAATTTCCCAAAAAACAAAGCAACGATTTTTGAAATTCATCAAGGGTTAACAAAATTCTGTTGAATATCAATGGTGTGCCACCCGGTATACCCACTTTACAAATTTCAATTGAACTCTAGTTACTGTCAAGTAATGCCCTGAATACATCTACAAAGTGTACCAAATTTGGTTGCTTTAAGTTCAAGAATAACGGAGATATTGATTTTTTTCAAAATTTATAATTTCACTTTCAAAGCCTATAACTCCTTAGGGAAGCAACTTGGTATGGAGGTGAGTTGCGTTAAAGTGCCATATTTTGGGACCCCCTACATGCACCTGCTCTATGTCGGTTCTTATGTGAATCACCCTGTATATTCAGAATGTACCTATAATATTCTAGGAATATTCAGATAAAATTCGGAATATTTCAAGGATGATGAAGGAATATTGATAAATGAATATTCCTGGAATATTCCACTAAAATGCATGATCAAAGAAAGCTGACACACGATGGGCTTGAACTCGTGACTTTCAGATTGTCAGAGCAATGCCTCAACCACTAGATCAGTAATCGAGTTGAATGATATTGTACATAACAATTCCTTGAAGTGCGTGGTTCAGAATCCGATCATAAACACTTCATGCTTCGAAATGTTGATGAATAATGATAAAAATAATAAGGATGAGCCTATATGGGCTCGAAACATGTACGATGATCTGATTGAGTAATGTGATCCCTATTAAAATTGTGTTGATGGCTTCTCGTTCCTGATTCCTGGTAACTAACCTCTCCACTTTGAGATACGATAGATTTCTACCACATTCTTATCATACTGAATGTTCGATACTCGCATCTATAAAATATGATATAGTGATTGGTGTTCATACTAAACTTTATTCCATTGAAACACATGAGAATAATAATTTTGGAATATTCCATGAATACACAAATAAGAATATCCAGTTGAGAATATTCCTGGAATATTTATACCTGAATATTGAGCCGGGATTGGCGCAGTGGAAGAGCGTCCGTCTCACGACCGCAAGGTCGTGGGTTCGATTTCCAGCACGGGCAAGAAACTTTTTTCAATATTTTATTTACGAATTAAATATTGTAAAGTTTCGGAGCATCGGCTGGGGATAGTCCTGCACGATTCGCTGTTGCGTTCCAATTAACAGTGCTGCTCCTAAAGTGGCGCATGGAGTTAGTAACAAAGCCTACACAGAACACGCAGAAAGATATGATGATGTGGTTGTGAGCATCAGAGAAGAAGTAGGACGGTGTATGTAGTTGGGTGTGGAAAACTACCAGCTGAGCGTGAGAGCGGGCCAGCTGCTTAAGTAGACCTCGGTCTCGGGGGTTAACGATGATAGTTAGCAGGCCTGTCACTGCGCATATGGTAGTGAGTACATTACTAGCCTACAAAACACTGCTGAAAAACTCTGAAAAGAGAGCTGATGGGCGGTGCCTGAAAAGGATGTTAGCCAGCTCTCTTGAGCGAACCACATCAGTCATTGAAAACACTTGGGGTTTGCAAAAAGGTCCCATTGGGGACTAGTTGCTGACGTGGAAACGTCCCCCACCAGTACCAGTACCAGTACCAATATACCTGAATTGAATTGAATTGAATTGAATTTATTTAATTCAGAAATATCACAATATTATGAAACACGTCAAAGTAAAAATAGGACAATGGTCAAATTAAAAAGGACATTAGCCAAAGTAAAAATATGACAATAGTCAAAGTAAAATAGGACAATAGTCCAAGTATAAGTAAATATGTAAAAATAAAATGAAAATATAAAATATCAAATTGTACATGGGTTTACCTAGTTTTTGTTAAGATGTCTCTGTTTTTGAATAACTTGCAATATTCGTCAAATGAGTATATGCAGTTCTCTGCCAGAATGATTTTCAGTCTCATCGAGAATTTGGAAAATGGTAGATCACGAAATTCGGTTGGTAATGCATTGTACCATTCAACACCTCTGTTTGTATGCCTACGTAATCTAGTGTATGGTTGCAATAGCATAGATTTGTTTCTTGTGTCATGTCTGTGGAAATCGGATTGTGATTGATAGTTGCTCATGTTTTTTTTACATGCAATAGGTTATGGTACAGAATGGTCGAAAATATGGTCATGATCTTTAGTTCCTCAAATATAGGTCTGCAGCTGACTTCCCAATTAACTTTTTTTATACTGCGTAATGCAGCTTTTTGAATGATTAAAATTCTCTGTAAATTGCAATTTGATGCATTGCCCCATATTAGGGCTCCATATGTTAATACAGAGTGGAAGAGTGCAAAATATGTTGTGCGTGCAGCTGATTCGTCCAGTGAATAACAAATTTTCCTGATAGCGTACACTGTTCTTGAAAGTTTTCCACAAAATATACATATGTGTTCCGACCATTGCAACTTCGTATCTAATACAACTCCCAGGAAATTGACATGGTCGTTTGAATTTTCAGATATAACATTTTCAAAAATTTGACTTTGACTTTTACTTTCATTTAGTAGCATATCATTGTGCTCGAACCAAGCCCTAGCCTTCTCCAAGATAAGTGAAAGAACAAGTGCATTATCTTCTTCTTTTTCCAATTCAATGCCAAACGTTGTATCGTCCGCATACATAATGGTTGATGCGTTTATAAAATTCATAGTATAAGGAAGATCATTTATGTAAATTAGGAACAGGAGGGGACCCAACACTGATCCTTGCGGTACTCCCCTATTCACAGTAGCTATATCACTTCGTTCTTCGCCATTTACTACGATTTGCTTTCTTTCATGTAAGTATGACTTCAATATGTCTAGTGCTTTACCACGTATTCCGTAGAAATTGAGTTTTTCCAGTAATATATTGTGATTCACACGGTCAAAAGCAGATGTCAGATCCGTAAAAACAGTCAAATATTTTTTACTGTCATTGAACGCTTTTTTTATAGAACTTGTTAAGGAGAGTACCGCATCACCAGTGGACAGCCCCTTTCTGAATCCATATTGTTGTGGAGATATAATTTCATGAATATCCAAAAAATATGTCAAAGCTGAGTGTATTGCCATTTCCCATATTTTGGAGAAGACTGGGAGGATAGATATCTGTCGAAAATTACTTGGCAGCGACGGGTCTCCTTTTTTATATGCAGGAATTACTTTTCCCATTTTCAATTTTTCTGGAAAAACTCCTTCGTTGAGGCAAGCATTGATAATATCTGTAAGAGGTTCCAATAGATGAATTCCAGAATGTTTTATAACAAATGTGCTGAAACCGTATATGTCTTCTGTTTTTTTGGATTTAATTTTGTTAATGAATGTTCTAATATCAGAATATTCCCTGAACAATCCAACCGGAATATTCCTTTTGGAATATTCCGTGTATATTATTTCTGAATATTACTAGAACATTCAATTTCAAATATTCTTTGGATATTCCAGAGGTACCTATATACTCCAGGAATATTCGGTGGATATTCGGAATATACTCGCCTCTTTTAGCATAATTATGGAATATTCTAGTACTATCCAGTGCTGCCTGGGTAACAGTTGTTGAATATTGGCTTTTTACATGGAAGAGCGGCCGAGGTCGAATGACGCAAGCAATAATGTGCTATTTGTGCTACCAAGTTTTTCTGCATACAATGAAGACACATTATCATTATCATTATATATAGATATATAATTATCCATGATCAATATTTCATTGAATGAATAAAAAGAATGCACAGTCATTGTGGCTATTTCGTAGTTGAATATTATATTAGTATAGGTGGTATAGTGTGTTGATGCAGATGCACCCC